TGAATCATCTTGACTTTTTACTTAAATGTAAATGTAAATGTAAAAATTGATCCCCAATTTTTATTCAAATCAAATCTAATCAAAAACCTTCGAGTCGCGTTTCAAGAATTCTGTTAAATTGCAAACTTGCCTTACTTCGGTCTGTGATAAGGGATACACGTCAACAATTGTCCAAAATTGAACATGAACTCTATAAGCTTCATCTGGAACTCGCTAAAACATATCCAAAATTCACTGCCCTTGAACAAAAGTCTTGGTCTAGAACGGAGAATGCAGTTAACCGTCATAAAAACAACCTTGCAGTTAAATTCGAAAAACTTCTTTTACAGTCTTCCAGTTCAAGTAGTTCAAAAAATCTTCCCATTGTAAACATCAAGCCAATAGTTAATATTTCTAATGTTAGTCTTTCAGAAGAACAAGAGAGAATTCTAAAATATAATTTTAACTTCTCACAAACCTGTAAACCCTCAATTCCAAAGATTTTGGCTCCTATCGAAAAGCTTTCAGTTTAGTAAAGTTTCAGATTCACAGAAAGAAATGATTATGTAGGCATCTTATCGCTCATAATGTGAAATTCAATAATAAACCTTTGAAACCAAATCTAACTGCGAGAGAAAGAGCTACAATGCGCGAGGATTCATTCTAACCCGGATATTGTCATTTCAAAGGCCGACAAAGGTGGCCAGATAGTCGTCATGGATAAGAACACTTACATCGATGGTGTCACTAAACTCTTAAACGAAGGACCATATAATCCGATCCCTAAAGATCCTTCACCTTCGGACTTATCCAAAATAAAAACTGCGATCAAATCTTCGCAAATCATTTCAAGCAACTTAAAACATTCGCTTATCCCATCTGTTGCGAATTGTGCCAGATTATATGCTCTTCCCAAAATTCATAAAAGTGGTATTCCTTTCCGCCCTATTGTATCAAATTTAGGTACTGCCTCGTATCCATTAGCCTAAATATTTAGTTTCTAGATTTTTTCCACTCTATTAGACAATACATTTACATTAACCATAAAAAATTCAATAGAGTTTGTAAAAAAGGTTAAAAACATTTCTCCTCGTAATTTACTCATGGTTTCTTTGATGTAAAATCATTATTCACCAATGTCCCCAGTGGAGGGTGCATTAAGATGTCTAGAAACAAAACCAGACTTCGCGAATTTCATTTCTCTTGCATCGAAATTGATGAGCTAATTTCTCTCACTCAACTCTGTTTGAAACAAACACATTTTGTTTTCCAAAATAAATATTACAAGCAAACTGAGGGATTAGCCATGGGAAGCCCCCTCAGTCCCATCCTGGCTGATATCTACATGCATTATTATGAATCAAAATTGTTTGAAACTTTAAACTTCCCGGCATGGTTCCGCTACGTAGACGATACTTTTACCCTGTTTGAAGGTAATAAAGATGATTTAAATGAATTCTATTGATCCTGCTATTCAGTTCACTTTTGAACTTGAGACTTGCAATTCTCTTCCGTTTCTTTCTCGACATTCCTGGTCACACGTAACACATCCCAACTTCAGTACTACAATTTACCGTAAACCTTCATCGGTTTGCCTTCCACCACACTTTAAAATCATGTCATCCGACTAAACAAAAGTTAGCTTCATTTTATTCCTATGTGTTTCCGTGCTCTTCAAGTTTGCTCCTCCAAACTAGCCCTTGATGAAGAACTAAATTATTTAAAAGCAAGCTATTGACAGGGGCTTTTTACCCAACATTATAATCAAGCAGTTAAAAAATTCTCATCTCAACAGCCTAAAAGCCACACTTTTATTTTAGGAGATTATAAAATTCTGTTGTCATTCCCTTCTTTCCATCATTAGCTATAAAGTTGCATATTTTGCAGAAATTTAACTTTCGGTTGATTCTCCCATCAATAAAATTCCAACTCTATACTCAGGACCCCATTCCGCATATGAATTCCTGGGGTATTTATAGGATTCCTTGCCAGTGCGGTTTAATTACATTGGCCAAACTAAGAGAGGCTTAAAATTTCGCGTCAAAGAACATGAGGCTGTTAGAAAAAGGAAACACAGAGTCTTCTGTTGCTCAACATTGTTGGTCCAAATCACACTTTCAATTTTTCTGCTGCCAAAATTATTCAAAAAACATCTTCCATTGGAGAACTGGATTTTCTAGAGGCATTCACATTCATAAAATCTTTCTGTTCTAGTTAACGATCTAATTCCAATCCAAATTTGCCTTCGGCTTTTAGAGAATTATGTTTTAGTTCTGTTTCGCCAACAGATGGCGCCACTTGCTTATTCTTGTCCAGCTTTCTTATCTTATCTAAACATTATTTCCTATCTTGTTCATTTTGGCTGAAGATGATGTTCGGTAAAACCATCGAACTAGTCCTGTGAAAATTTTGTAAATTAACGCTGATTTTTGTTGTTTGACTTCTGAATTAGTATTAACTTTTATATTTATATAAGTTTAATATTTGAAAAAATAATTTAAATACATATTTTGTTTAGATTATTTTAAGTACTGTAAAACTGGAGGTTCTTCTGCATTTCTCTATAAACCGCCTTCTTGGGTTTGTTGAAGTGAAAATATCTGACACTAAGTACATAAATAAGCAGAATATAGTAGAAAATTTCTAAAGTTTTTGCTTTAAAAGAAAATCAGATTTGCTATTTTAACCCTAGACTGAAAAACTTATGGGAATGGCAACCATTCGTCTTCCAGACACTAATATGTGTAAGGTGTGCTTAAAACTTATTTTAAAAGCTAATTAGAATAAAAATATACTACCTGCAGGTGATTTCAAGACTCTCGAACTTTAAGTAGGCAAGAAAATATAATTTATTTACTTTCAAAGAAGTCTTTATGCATATTAGCACGATGTTCTCCGCACACTGCTCTGGAACATGTTTGACAAAAGTTGCGCGTCATTCTGCATAAATTGTACGGGCAAAATGCACTTTTTTTTTTTTTTTTTTTTTTAAATTGTCTGGTTGTTTTGGAGGTTGAATGTTCAAATCTAATTTCAACAGTTCTGTTATAATTGTTCTTGTTGATCGAGGCAAATTTGGTAAGTTGATACATTTCTTCATCCATGGAGGAAGAAGATGTTCACTGAGCTTTACTGCGAATTTTTTTCTCAATAAAGCCTTTTCAGATTTTCGAGGCCATATTATGCACATATATAACATGTGCATTCATTAAATTGATATTAATCATGTCATAAAACACACAAAGAGGCCATCGTGTTTTTTTTTTTTTTTTTTCTAGTACATGACATATTGTTGCACATCTGATCCAATGTGTCTATGGCCCCTTTTGTGGAATTATTTTCGGTTTATTACTTTCTTGATTTACATTTTGTTTTTCATGGAATGTAAACAGAAGAATAACACACTTATTTGGTTTTGTTTTAAAGGACAAAAGAGTTTTTGCTTTGTCAAAATAATACATTGAAGTTCCAACGCTTCGAGAATGCAACTGTAAGAGTTCTGCAGGAATTTTTTAGCTTCATATTTCCATCTTCAAGGATTTGTTTCCCAAGCATTGTTTCTTCTTCCTCTTTGTTGTTAAGTGGTAATTCCTCATATTCATCTTTGTCGCTATCTGTCAATTCATGATTTTCAACTTTAGTAAAATCAACTTTTTCTGATTCATCTTCCAAAATAGAATTTTCTTCATCACTTAGTTCTTTTAACAGATTCCGGATAGCCTCAGGTCTACCCGAAAAATTTTATCTGCGAAAACGCTTAGACATCTTTAACGCAACCCAGAAATAAATCTAAGTCCATTCGTCTGTGAGACGAATATTGTTCTAAAAATGCCACTTGCGGAAGTATTTTGGCAAGAATGTTCTTATCTGTAGTAGCCAAGATCATATAAAGGTACTGAGTAGCCCATCCTATTTCCTGCTTCAGGAGAGGCAGGTCAAAGTTATTCGTAATGGGCTTTCTCCAGGAGGCGAATAGGTAGCATTCTAGGGTTAAATCTTCATCCGTCATCCACAGGTTTATTGGCTATTTCCTGAGTAAATTCTCTTGTTATTAATTTATGCACTAAAATGTTTTAATAACGTTTTACTACATTGTTTTGAATGATATCAATAGCTTTGTTTCATTCATCTGTCTGTTTTTAAAACAAATATCAATGATATTTAATAAATAATAAAAATATAAATATCACCGATAAATCACCGAAGTCCTGACGAGTCCGGATTACGGACTTTGTACTGTATTACAGAATTCGTGTACGGATTAGTCTGATCATAATAATATTCCATAGCCTAATGAAAGTATAAATCGTCATATTAAGTCTTAAGGAAACTGCATTCAATAATTGTTTATTTGGCTTTTATGAAACATGAGAACTAAAAGAATCCACGCTATTGAAACTTTTTTCCCTTGTGTGTGGCCGTCTAAATAAAGGTGCGTCTTATATGCCATCAAATACGATAAGTGGTATTGAAGCAACCAACAGCTAGTACAGTCAAAACATATCATTTCTTATCAAATAGTGCATTCAGATAGTTTGCATAGATATAGTTTGCATTCCATTATTGTATTATTATTATAGATTATTGTATTGAACCATGTTTTTACAAGCTGTTCTCAACTAGCATGCATAATCCTGCCAATTTCTTGCTAATCTCTCTAACTCAAATTGTTTTATCTATAATATACTGCATCATCGTAAGCAAAATCTGTTAGGAACTACTTATATCAAATCAATTAACATGCCACTTAAGTCCATGGTTTTCTTCGTCATGATGAATAAATTAATGCAAATGAGAATATTAGTTACCAAATAAAAAATGAAGTATAGTTTCCTGTATATGATTACAGATTTTAATAATTTTCCCATAAAAAAATTTCCTGATAAAATAATAGTTATATATATATATATATTCAATCAAATTCAGAACTTTTCCCCATAATCTTTGAAAATGATATATTTGCACATAAAAGAATGCTTTGAAAATATTGATCTAAATTTTGTTTAACTAAATGCAGAAACTACACAGGAAAAAAAATAATTTATTTCACTTTAATGTACATAATTCTACATTGTTTAAATACATAACTAAATTTTCAAAACTATCTGCCACAGTGCTCAGAAAGCTCAAGAGTTAAGTCACTTTTTTTGCTTCTGACTTGCTGTTGCCTGTGCTGCTTTCTTTGCCTTTACCATTTCTACCAAATCCTGAAAAAATTAATGGAGGAGAGGGGAAATTGGTACTATAAGTATTTCCATTCCCATACCCAGACATTAAATCATATACATATCAAATGCTACTTTATTAATAGTGGCTGATAAAGTATTTAAACAAAAAAAATCACTTTTGATTATATATACATTCAAAAACAAAGTAATTGGGAATAATTATAAAAAATGCCAACCTATAGCATTAAAAGATCACTGTATCACTAAGTAAAATAGAATAAAGACAGGATTTTCAACAGAAAGTAATGCAGTGCACCGAATTGAATTCAAAGAACAGTTACAATTTTTTACCAAAATTTGAAAGTTTTGGACAAGGAGAGTTAAAAAAAAAAAAAAAAAAACCACACAAAAAGTTGGCATATTCCACTACAAAATATTAAGAAAAAATTACCCCTCTCAAAAAAAAAAAAGATGAAGAAGAGGAAACATCATATACAGGAATTTACTATTGCAAACACTTTGAGAAAGGAGTATAGTAAATACGGTGTAAAAATTCACAGCTTTCTGTAAAATGGATACATTAAAAATCCTAATGATAGCTAATAGTATGTTACATTAATCTTCGTACAAAATCTGTTTCAATGTGTTCAGAGACTCTGAAGGAAAGCAAATGGTCCGTCTTGAAGCTTAACATTATATTTGTGATGGGCATAACTTGAAAATTAAATTATGTACATATTTGTATTACTAATACATATTGAACTACACTAATCTTCAAATTATTTATATTAATTTTAAGTATACCCCATCTTTCACATTTCATGCAAGTTCTGGGTCTCGTGATTCTGCAGCCATAAAAGATGTTCCACTTTATTCTCATGTTACTCAAATTACAAATGGGAATTCCCTATTTTATCATTTTAAAACGTGTGGGAACAACGCTTGTGCCATTAATTTTACATTATTTCTCAAAATAGTTAAATAGTGTTGACGACTGTAGGCTTGTATTTCTTTAAATAATCACTCCAGATGAGCAGGATGAAATTGACAATTTATTATAACTAATAATGGTAGCTAAAGGATATTAAGCAATTCCTTCTCAGTCCATAAGAAAATACTGTAAATTCCCCAAATCACTTACACAAAAAATTCTAAAATGCAACTAAACTAGCTCTCAGAACTGATTAACAACTGACTTCTAGCTTTCGGAGCCATATTTATATGGCATTGTACAAATCTGGAAGCTTTGGGGAAAACTGAACTTATGGCTTCGAAAATATGCTTTCTCAAAAGTTGTGAATTTGGCAAGAAATCTCCAAATGTTACAAGGCCCTCTGTGAGTGTATTTGCTCATATCTTGTATTTTGATTGAGTTATATGCTATACACTAGCAGGAATAATGGCAGTTTCTGGTTGCAGCCCTGGTGGCTCTGGGATACAAATAGAATTATGGTCCAATATTGTCTGATTAAATTTTTTCATCATGCCATCTGACTGTGGACATAAGAGTGGTTTGAGTCTTTCCCATGCTTGAAATTCTACATAGTCTTTATGGGCAGACATGAAGTTTGTTCCTTGGTCAGTGTAATAAGGAGAGGCAATTCACTTCTTCACTATAACTTCTGCAATAGTTGAAGCTTCTTGCACAAGCACAAGCCAAGGAGTTGAAGATCCTTCTAGTCATTTACTTAAGTAGCCGATGATAATCAGGATGTATTTGTCACCCTTAGTTATATGAGGTAAAAGTATGTAATGTTCATAACAATCCTTTCAAATGATGCTCCTGTAATCTATCACTATAAGCTTCCTCCTGTAGATGTTTTCAGCCTTCACACACAGCACAGGATTTACATCACTTTTCTATATCTACTTTGGCTTTGTCCCAGAAAAAAAGTTCACTAACTTTATGGAGTATTTTCATTATATCAAAATGTGAAGCTCTGACAAACCAGGGACTTGAAATGTCAGCAAGATGAATTGCTATCTGAAACTCTTCCATCATAAGCTTCCTATCTGTGATACAAACATCTGACAGGTGAAACACATCCCATAAAGCCCAATATCTTTTTGTCATCAGACTAAAAGGTGGCATTTTCAACTAACTAGATTTTCACTCCTAGTTGCCATTAATGGTCTCAATTAAGATCTTCTATTTTGGTCTTTCTGAGTTCTTTGCTGCTCTTTCGCATGATTTCGCTATTTAAACCTTTACACACAGACACTGCCTTTGTAAATGTCCGTTACTGAGATCTAGTCTGTTTTAGATTGACCTGCTACTGAGTTTATACAGAGTGGTTAGACCTTTGCTTCATAAGAAATTCTGGAATCTGTGATATTTATTTTGTGTTAAGGAAAATTTCAACATTATATCTCTGTTTTCCTACAGCTATTTTTCTTTCTTATATTAACTGTTATTACCTCAAGATAAAATAAGGATTGAAATTTCTTTCTTCTTTTTGCATGAATGATAACATACAAAACTATTTTACAGAAAGCTTAATGAGAGGTTCCTCTCAGAATAAGCAACGTAGAAGAGAAAAACATATATCAAAAATGTATTATAAATTATCTCTCTTGGAAAACTAAACAAAGTGAGTAATTAATAAAAAATGAATTTTAGAAAGCTTCTGGATTGGATCATAATAAAAATATAAAATATACCTTGTATCTCTTAATACAGTCCTTTTTATCTCTTCCTGGGATACATGCTGCAATTTTTTCCCACCTGTCTTCAGTATTAATTGGATATGTTTTCAGAGCCTGTTCTAGTAACTGCTGTTCATCAGCAGTCCATGCAGCTGGCACAGAATTGGAGGATTCATTCACAGCTACAGATTTATTTAAACAAATTTATGACATTCTGCGTATAGATTTATAAAACATTATACAGAAATATCAGCAACAAAATACATTATAAAATAGATGGTTAAATATTTTAGTTATATGGATGGAGAGAAGAAAAAAAGATCTCAGTAACTAAAGTAATTATCCAATAACAACAGTATTAATAATTAACTGGTTGTTCTCAATTTAATTTCAGATTGCTAAATAATACTTGACAAATGGCTTTGATTATGCTTAATTCAACATTTCAAAGGAAAACAATATGAGGAACAATCTGCTTCTAAAAGGAATAATTTCATGAAAGTATTCCTGAGCATATTTCTATTATTTATATTTTACACTAAAAAATTCTGAACTCTAAGCTATGGCAATATTCAAACATGTTCTGATTCATTCTGAAACATGGCATTCAAGGATTTTAACAACTTATCTGGTAAGTAAAATAAGCCCCACCAGTGGCCGAGTGGTTAAGACAGCTGAATACTGGCAGTTTGACTAGTTTGATTTCAATCCCAGGAGAATAGCATGGTTAGGTTTCATAATTTTCTCCATGTGTAACATGAATACAAGTCAGTTTCCCTCAGACAATCCTCTATGAAGGCATCCTTCCTCTCAGACGGATACCCTTCATGGTTTTGCCATATTTAAGTAACCTAACCTATTCTAATCTAATTTAAAAAAAAAAAAAAAAAAGCATTGCTTATATATTATAAACGCTTGTATTATATCTGTTTAATTTTTTATTATACAATAATTACTTGGCTTTGAAACCATAGCTCATACAAAAGCATACCATTGTTTGTTGGAAAATGAGAGTTGGTAAGATCAATATTTAAAAAATTTATAATCGTTCATACCATCAAATCTCTCAGTTGGAGCTGACTGATCTTTAACAGCAATAGGCACTTGTTTCTGATTTTTTTCCAAGTTTTCATATGCATTTTTGTTAATTTGTTCTCTTAAGCCTCCACCTTTGATGATGAAAAATGTGCAATAAATTTAATTAAATACTTTTAGACATAACACAATACAATTTTTAAAAGAATAATACTGGCAATATTTCAAAAAAAAGAGATTTATACTTCGTTTTTGGAGTTCTTTGGCTTTTGCAAGAACTTCTTTTGCAGTTCTCTTTACTTTTGATGTGGAATGTTGGGCCATAAATGCAACAATAACATCCCATCTATAAAAATAAATAAGCGAGTATATTATATTAAAACTTAACAAGAATTATAGCAAAAATCTGTCAAACAGCAGAATTGTGATACATTACTCCATCTACACATTTTGCACACATTTCAATACACACAGTACTTTTCAATAAGTACTTTTAAAGACCATCAATGAAAAAAACTATGGATTTATTAGCAAATGGGAATTAGGTAAATTAAAGCTATTACCTATGGAATTGACTTCATTCTTGTAATACCCTTCTAACAATGAAACAGAAGTGTACTCATAATGCATTATTCTTAAACATAATTGCAAAACTAATCTGGGAATAAAACCAACTTCCTAAACGTTACAAAATAATTAACATTAAATCAGAAACATTTGTATTTTACATTTATAATAGTTACGTATGTTTTACAAGATTTACAAAGTAAGTACTGTAAACTCCTCTAAACATCAACTCGCTTAAGGTGAACACTTAGCTGACTTCTCATGTACATTTCGTGGCTACCATGTTTCAAATGATTGCTTTTAACCCCTTAAGGACCAGCGTCAGAAGAACCAAGCGCAGTCACGAGACTGGACCCGCTGAAATGGATCGTTGCCACCGGCCCATGCATTTTCAGCAGTTAAGCCTAATTTTACAAAAAAAAATCGTTAAAAATCAGCATTTTGATATTACGACTTCAATTTTTGAAGTTGCATATTTAATGTACTTGTTTTTAATGTGTATTAATATAAAAAATATCACATTAATAGAAATAAACAGGCAAAATACTAAAATCATTACTATACACATAGAAATAAGTACTATAAATATGAAAAAAAATTACAAATAAGAAATTTATAAAAAAAAGTAAATAAATAAATTTAAAAAAAAAACAAGAATTACCTGTAGGTAATTAAATTCCAATTTAAAAATTCTGCTGTGTGTGAAATAATTTAAAACAAGGATCGACACACACTACATTGCATATTTCGCACTCAAAATACGTTGTTTGCTTTCACTTTTCCTTGGTTTTAGCGCACACACCGCATCTTCTACTTTTATTACTTTCCATCAATGGAAATTTTGGAAACTGTCTACAGTTAGACAGAAAAGTGGAGTGTCCAGTGATTTTGGACAAATTTTTAAGTGAGGTCTCTTAGCTATGGCTAACGGAATGAAACTGAATATAACCACAACAAATGTCCCAAAACTTCTTCAAAAGACACTCAGAAATATTTCATCCTCAAACCCTGTGTGACATCAGGTTTATATTAGAAAACTTCCTGTTTTTCTAAATCGAAAACAGCATCCACGATGACCAGAACGTGATCAAGGAAAGACCCCCACTGGCGGGATATCCATTACTCATTACGTCAATCTATACATAATGTATAATTTCATTACATGTAAATACATTATATACCAAAATATAATGCCTGTGTCATTATATATAATGACCTATTAAATTGAGTAAAAAAAAAAAAAAAAAAAAAAAAAAAAAAAAAAACGCTGGCTCTTTCCTGAAAAATATGAGCAAGACGCATTACTCGTTCAGAAAGCTGATAGTCTTTACCCTCCTGTAATAATGTTGTAATGTTACTTTTTAATTAACCAAGAAAGCTTATGTTGAAAAATAAATAGAAAAACCAAAAAAAAGGGGGGGACGAAAATCTTAACAAAATAAGCAAAAATGCCTCACCCCCCCCCTTTCATTCACAGGCACACTTATAAAGAGCAGTGATTTCCAGTTTGTTTATTTCGATAAATCTCTCAAAACCAGAAGCACAAAACAGAAACTAATACCAGTACGTAAAGATCAAATGCCGTATGAAGCAACCTATGCGAAAACAATTACCACTTAGCTCCATTTACTGGCTTTTAAAAATTCAAATAAATCATTCCGTTTTAATGTCGCGTATACGCGATGCTGGGCTTATAGGAGCAGAATCGTTGCGTCACGTATACGGGACGCTGGGCTCGTAGGAGTGGAATCGTTGCGTCGCGTATATGTGTCGCTGGTCTTGAACGGGTAAATATGGCATAAGAAGCATTTCATGGCCTCAAAGATTTTTGCCACATGAACTTTGCAACTTAAGACTCATGATGATGGTGAAGCGTGCCATGTTGATTTTTTATACAGCACTTAGTGCAGCTCCATATTCTTTCAATTTTTTGTGTATGAATAGCTGTTGTTAGTTAAAAAATTTATGGTTCACAGTAAAATGTCTGTAAGCTGCTTCTCCCAGTTCTTCTGTTTTATACACACACCAGAAGATTGAATAAATCATTCTCTCTTATATATGATCGACAATTTTTGCAATGAATGTGGTTCCCTATTTGGAACTTCAGTGTGAAAGAATTTCTCAGTTTCTTGTCAAATATCCAGTATTGTGGAAGAACCATGCCAGCTTTTCAGTAATGTTCACAATTTTTTCAGGGTCACCTGTTAATATATTTGGTTATCAGATTATATGCAAAGGAAACATCTCATAAAAATGTTTCAGTGAATAGTTCTACTTTTGTATTGTTTCATTCATAATTGATATAAAATAAATTGCTATACTGTTGCAAACAGAATTCTGAAACCACCGAACAACTTATGCTTTTTCTTTATTTACAGATTTTCAAGTTGTACCTCTAAATGCTTTTACTGATATTAAGTTCTATTTAATAGCCAATTTGCACATTCAAATGCGAGGCAAAACATGTCTTTCTTGAAAGAAAGATACAACAAGCATTTTCCTTACTTCTCAGTAAATTAAAAATTTTAAAATTAAAAATTAATTAAATAAAATACATTAACACGTGGAATATTGTGATGACACAATTAAGAGTGATCATGAATTTATAACAAGTACATAAAAAATATGATAATCCAGTTTACTCAGAGCTCTTCTCATCACTAGCAAATTATAAATCTTGCTTACTAAAGCTTGGTTTCATTTTTGATTCTAGCACATCAGGGCTATCTGCCTAAGAGAAGGGACATTTTGTGGAGAACTTTCTAAGGAAAGCTTGTTCGTATCCACATTGGAAACAACAGAAAAGCTTGGTATCCATTTTCAAACTTGTTTAAGCCTAGCATTAATATTAGCTTTCCAGGAAGATACCTTTTTCAATTTCATGAGGGCTCATTCATATTAAAATACAACTGCATTTCACTTGGTAGAAATTTGTAATTAAATTTCAAATTTAGTGTGGTCACAATATTTTTTTCAAATTTCTATTCAGAACAAGCTTATATATACATTAAAAACTATGAGCATGTTAAAAAAAAATTCTAAAATCAATCTTTCAATACATCTTCCATTTAAATACACTATATGATAATTCTTCCATTAAATGACTATGTAGATAACTTATATTTAAATGTGTTCTTTCAGATATACAATGAAATAAAAAAAGAATTTCGCATTTATTACAAAAATGGTGTGCAATTTTAAATTCAATCTTCATTTGAATAATGTACAGGAAAGAAAATATAATTGTTTCCTCCTAATACAATGTAGAAATGAAAACTCAAAATGCTAATTATTGGGTTAAAAGTACAGTAAATATTAACACAATTAATTCAAGACTAAAATCTCATGTTTTTCTTAGTGATTTAAAATAAAGAGTGTATTACAAAGATCTTTGAATTTAAAAACTAATATTTTCATCAGGAATTTTTTTACTTCAGAAACCCAAATCGTGAAATGATGTTATGAGCATAAATTTATTGAGCTTAAAGGGCATATCTTTGATATGACATCATCTTACATGCCGATTAGGTATCACGCAACCTCACTCCATGTTTGGGGATTTAGTGCTGACCAATTTACAGAAATCAAAGGTACTGGAAATTTCTCAACGACTATATAAAACCGAATACAGCATCAATTCAGTTGAATTTAGAGTTAAGCTCAAAGAACTGAGAGTACTAAGAGATCTCTGTGCACACCTACACATTTGAGACTTTTTAAATTGTTTTGTGTTTAACCTTCTTTAGTTTGGAAACATAACTATGGATTGTACTCTATATATCGAGGAACACACATACTATAGGAGATTTGTGAAGGGCTTTTCTTCCACTATAAGACCCTTTCAGAAACTGACAGAGAGCAAGCAAACATTCTTGAGGACAAAAGAACATGAGAATGCATTTAACAAACTGAAGGAGGTTTTAACATCTGCAAAGATTCTGAAGCATAACCAGTTCGAAAAACTATTTTTTCTTCACACAGATGTGAGCAATGTGAGAATATCAGTGCTGTTTTGTCCCAAGAAATAAACGGCCAAGAACATGTTGTAGCATACTGGAGAAAGTGTCTATCTAAGCCAGAGAGGAATCTGCTGTGTCACCACAAAAGATCACCAGAAAAAGTGATGCTTGCTATGGCTTAACCACAGAATATTTCCATTACCTCTAGAGCAAACAATTCCTGCTCCACACAGATCATACATCACTGACCTGGCTATTAAATTTCAAGAATCCTGATGGCCAGATGAATATAAAGACTCCAGGAATATGACATCATTGGAAAGGATCACCACACAAAAATGCCAACACCCTGTCTATAAGACGCCATCCAGAATTCAGAGAAGACCAGTTGAATGATAAAGACATTAAACCCATAATTCATTTATAGTCTTCAAATAGGAAATCAACTTTGATAAACCCTACAATAAAATAATATTGGGTTCTCTGGGTCTTCATATGTCTTGTACGTAGTTGATCACAATGATGAAGACAACAGGACTCAGGACTGAACCCTAAGGAAGCCCTTCTCTAGTTTGTCTATGGGCAGAGACAGCTAATCCAGATTTAGTTCTGATAAAGTGCTGTTCCAAAAAGATTTAATCCAGCGATACATTTTTCCACAAATACGAATATCAATTTTCTGAGCAGCTCTTTTCTCCATACTCTATCAAATGATGACTGGAAGTCGACTGTTGTATAATATGAAGGAAAAGGCTAGAGGGCGCTGTTGCTCGGATAGTTGAAAGAGAATAAAATTTGTTCATGTTGAAGGCGGCGGCCT